ATACCTGTGGACTGAAGGGGCAACCTGAGGGTCTGCTAAGGTGGTAGTGTGTCTTCTTGGAAGAGTGAAAAGGAATTTGTCAGACTTTGGGGGAACCTTATAAAAATGAAAGATGTTTTATGTCAGTGGGATCACTTTTTTAATCCAAGGGGCAAAAGAAAACTGGTTTCTATTGAGCCCCTGCCTGAAGGCCTTCAGCCTTTCAGAAGACCTTGCTTGTGTTGAATCTCAGTCAGCAAGTCTCCAGCATACAGAATTTGAGATTTTTTCCCTCCCCCATTTCTTCTGTTTTTGTTCCATGTAAACAGTTCCCTGCGTAGTAACATAGACAAATATAGCAGAGAATGCTTTTCTGGAAAAAGAATGCTCCCTAAGCATTTTTTAACCATTTTTGGGAAGAATTGATCTTACTATGTGTTTCAGACTGGAGAGGGGGGAGGCTGTGGCTGTAAATTGAAGTGACATCATATGTATTGCCCCCATTGATCCACTTTTAGTCTCCAGCCAGGATAAAAGGAAATGGCATCAGGGAGGAAGCATGCTTCATTTAGGCACAGATCCGAGTGATAATGGGGTAATAATAGAACTCACGCCACTGTCAATCTATGACTGCATTAGTCCCAGGCTTATTCTCTGTCTGGGGAGCCGAGCAGTGACTTTCTTCGTGTGAGGCTGCTGCATGCCTGCTGGACCAGGCCAGGAGGTGCCCTCCTTTGCTTTTGGAGGGGTGCAGGCAGTGGGGCTTGGATGTTGCCATTCACTGGTCTCTTGTCAGAGGCCCTGCCTCTGCAAGGTCAGTTGTGAGACATGTCCATGACGTTTTCTGATGTAGGAGGTGAGCTGGCTGTTCTGCATCATGCTAATGGAAGAAATGGTGGCAGGGCCTCAGTTGCTTGGGTGGTCTCCTGGGAGTGCAGAGGGTGATGCCCCATGACAGCAGTAAGAGGCTTCTGGAAGAGTTAAGAGTTTGTTTTTGTTGAGCTGCCTCTAGGTTAGGAGGGTGGGTTTGGAAAATTCATACTTTCTTTCCAAGAGCATGCATAAAAACTCTCCTAAACTATTCAAAGTCGTACAGCTTGCCTCGACTCTGAAGTTGGGAAAAACATTCAGTAGACTTTTTTCTTTGTACGATTCTTAGTATTTAGCAACTATGAAATCTTCCATGTTTAGAGTGGAACACAGACTTCTAAAATCCTTAACAAGCAGGATTTATGCTTGACTGACCTCATTTAACATTTTATTTCTTGTATTCATTTCAGTAAGTTTCATAGTTCGGTGAAGTTCTCTTGCAAGTCTCCACATCAGTTTGGCACCTTGTAGTCCTATTTTGTATAAATTTCTGAGGCAGATGTACTTTAAAAATATTGAGCTGGTCTCCATATGGAGAAAATAACCCCATCATGAATTTCTTGTTTATGCAAAGGGGAAAGGGTTTTTGCATTCCTGTCACTGTTGAACTGTGGGTGTGGCCCCTGGAAATAAAGGCAAGTTCTTTTTATAATGTCTGAAGGAACTACTTTCTTAGGTGGTGATGCTTGGAGGTAAGGTCCTTTATTTTTCAGGATCGCTCTGTAGTACAACCGCCTTAGCTCTTTCACACCGGTACTGCTGTATTAAGCACAGCTGGCTTTTCAGTCTTAAATTCAGCTGATCTTAAAATAAATAAACGCAGTTGGACTAGAAGTCATGTGAAGTTTGCTTTGATTTCCATGTGGGTGGAAGTGGAGTGCTCCACATAGCATGTCCCACCCCCCTGTGCCAGCCTGGGCTCCTCCCACTGCCCAGTGCTGCCTTGAGCACATCTGCTGATAAGTGGTCGCTTTCACTTGCTTTATAAACATTTTGGTTTATTACATCCCTACTACTTTTTCATTTGTAGGGTGGCTTTATGGGGAGCAAATGTTTATTTTACAAAGAGAAATGCACTGTGTTGTAGCTATTTTACCACACTTTTGCTTCAGTATTCTCTTTTTAAGGTCTATTATATCATTTAAAAAAAATTTTATATTGTGCACTTTGCAAATGAAAGATTCTTAATTAGTTTTATTGTCTGTGTCCCCAAATAGCATTTGTTCACTGATTTTTTTTTTTCCTACTTTTTTCAGAAACTGCATCCCCCCCCCCCCCCGCCCGCCCACATACACACTAAAAGCCAGATGACTACAGGTTTTTCACTAAGGGAGAGTCATTTCAAGTCTATTCAGAAGAATGGGACTCACAGAAACCTGGGAGCATGAAGCTGCCTCTGGCAGCACTGTGTTGTCAGGGCTTTGTGAAAGGGGAGCAGCTACCTGGGGGGAGTGTCCACCCTTGATCCTTACTTCTCTTAATTAGAGTCATTGTGCTACCTCCCTTCCATTTTATGATCTTAAGTCAGGGAGCTTAGCTTTAAATATTGACATTGTGTAAAATTTGCAGAGGACAAAAGCTTCCATTGATCCTTTTGGTTCTTCTTCTATGTGGAGATGTGTGAGCTTTCAGCTTAGAAGAAAACTCAGATATACAAATATGAATGCAGGTATTTTGATAGGTTCAAATAATGGTAATTGTTTGATTTTAAATTGGAGCTATATCTGTTGGTTAAAGACCAAGGTTTGGAGTAAGTTGAGGACCAAGCTCGTTGTCTTACCCAGGGTTTCTTTGCTCTGTGTATCTCTTTAGTTTAAACTAAATTCCAAATGAGAGTTCTAACAGTAGGCTTCTTTGTAAGCAAGCACAAGTGTATAATATGGGGAGATGCTTTTCTTTCTTCTCCTCCTTCCCTGTAATTCAGCAGTTTGGCAGGGCTGGTTCCTTCTTGCATTTAGTTGGCAAACGAGACTCCCCTTCTGGCAAAGGGTGTTCTGCTGGACCAGGCACTGGTGGTGCTGAGAATCGCTTCTCTGTGATGGTAAGCCCATTCCCCGAAGCCTGCCTGCCTTTGTCTGGAGGCGCCTTGATGCCAGGCTCCTGCAGTCCTCGGACTGTCTGTCTTAAGAAATGCTGCTCACCAGTTTTGAGTGTCTCTGGGGTGGTTCAGGTCTCCATCCTGTGGTGGCCTGGCCTGGGTACCCCTTGTGGAGCTGCTGTTGTTTGACAGCAGCAAAATAAAGGGTAGTAGTGGGGTAAAGTGGGGAGAGCCCATGACTGGGGTGAAAAGGAAGGCACTGGGAAGAGGGCTCAAGGGCTGGAGGGCATTTAGTCAGTGGCCCCAGGAGACAGGTTGGGGGTGCTTGAGGCCACGGGCTGAAGGCTCAGCCTCCTGCAGAAAAGCACCTCTCTTGAACATCACAGGAAGCTGAAGGGTGAGTTGACTAGGAAGGAGGAGGAGGGCAAAGGGAGAAAGAGAACTGGTCTCACTGGGCTGCCTGGACAGAAGTGCTGGATACCCGCAAGCACCCCACAGTGCTCATGGTGTGAATGGTGAGGAGGCCTCTTTGAGGCTAGGGGCCTCAGTTTGGCCTCTTCCATAAAACAGATTTCTTTTTAATATAAAAGTAGCCTCACCTGTCTAAAACTATAAAATATAGTAGATGGGTGGTTTTGTTATAAGTAGTTATGTGATAATTTAATACCTTGAAAATTTGCTGCAATTACTTGACTTCTCGTGAGAAGAAATGGAGTGTTAGTAATTCTTTCTGTCCTTGTCAGTGCTGATTATACTGCAGTTTTGCCAGAGGTGCGTTGTTTCTCCTGAGAGAATAGCCACAACATGCCTTTCAGATGGAGCGATATTAGGGGCCCTTCTTAGAACTTAGAAGGGTGAGGTGAGAAAACATTCCTTGTGGAATGGCGCAGTGAGTGTGGTGCATGTGGTGCTTGCTGTCTGCCCGTTTCCCCGTGCGGACCTTTTGGTAATTGTATGGGTATGTGTGAGAGCGAATGAGTGAGGGGGTAGGGGGTAGGGAGGGTAAGGCAGAGTGCATAGTTGGGGGCAGGAAGATGAGCAGGGAGGGAAGCCAGTACTTTTAAAAAATTGTTTTAGAGTATCAGAAAGTGGCACTTAAAATTCAGGTGTTCTTAGGAATATACTGTTATCTGATAACAGCTTCCAGACCCATAATTTGGATTGACAGTAATGATCTGGACATGCACAGGGATGGAGAGAAGCAGCAGTGGAATTCAGAGGAATCATTTTTAAATCTTGATTCTAGAATAAATATTTTTTCACTTCGTACAAGGCGTATCTCAAATTGATTCTTCCTCCAGTGCACTATAGGGCTGATCTCAGTGGACCACTGCTCCTGGCCTTGCTGTCCCGTAGCGAGTAAGACAGATGATGTCTTACACAAGCTTCTCTTCATTTCTTGTATTTCACACACATTGCATTTTATTTTTTTACCACATAAAGAATACCTCTTTTCTTTGCCCTTAACTTGTAATACCACTTTTGACCTTTCCTATATGAGAACTCAGGAATATGGGTGACCTGTGTGTCCGTGTGTACAGCTGCACGTATAGTTGTATACAGCATTTTTAGCTTTTTAATGGATTGTAAGTTTATGATTTTCATAATGGAGGGAAGACCCAGTTCTTCCGATTTATTTCTCAGTTCGTAGCAGCTGTGTTTGCAAAGCTTATGTGATAAAAAGGAAACTGAATGCAGAAAAAGGAAATTTATGTTAAATTTCCACATGTTTGTCTATAATTAGATGGCTCCCTGAATCTTTGTCTAGGCTAAATCACATTTTCTGGTATATGCCGTAAAGGAAGTTATCTAATAAACCACGATAATATTTTATTAAGATAAGCACAGTTTTGATCTGCCCTAAGTATAGAACTGAAATGAATAGTCATGGAAAGTGGGGCTTAATGAAAGCCCAGAATGTAGTGTCTTTGGGAATATAGACAATGTAGACCCTGAGGCATTACAGAAGTGAGCTTAATAGTCTTTTAATGTTGCCGATGTATGCTGAAAGCACCCAGGTTATCCTGGGTATGCGGTCTTTGGTCTGAACATTTGGGTTTAGTTTCTCATCAGCTGAATGGCATTTTCACAAGCTGTTGGGTTTTGTCTTTAGCTTCTTCCAGACCAACTGGTCTTGCTTCTGGAGCATCTCTTGGAACAGAAGACCCTGAGCCCTCGGACTCTACAAAGCCTCCAGAGGACATACCACCTCCATGATCAGGATGCAGAGGTAACCAGGAACACCCTCGGAGTTTAACCAGCAGGTTCCCACTGTTGGTGAAGAATGGTGATCCCATTGCAGTCCCAAACTATTGAAACTGCCATTTCTATTAGCAAAATCCCATGTGTTTGCTATATTAGTAAAGAATAAAATGCTTAAATTTGATTATGCTTATGCTTCTAACCAGAGTATTTTGAGGTCTTGAGTTTTTCTCTCTTAAATTATAAAGATAGATGTGAGTCTCTCAAAGGAATGAGTTGAGTGTTTTTGAGTTGTAAACTTGGGTGGGTCATTGTGCCCACTGACGGTGTCGCCATTCTGTTGCACATTAAGGAAACTTGGTTAAGATGTGTCAGAGCTTCTTGGCTGCATTCAGTTAGGGCAGGAAAGGAGCCATGTGTAAAGGGAATGAAAACTAAATCTAGCAGCTATAGTTGGAAAAGGCAGTTGGATGCTTGTGACAAAGCAATATGATGTGATCCTTAATATCTTCTGCCTTATTGTGAAGAGTGCAGTGTGAATCCTAAGATTTCAGGGTTTTAAAAAGACAAAATAGTAAATATTTAATGTATTTGGACATCTTAAGTAAAAACAAGCTTAAAGAGAAAATCTCATTTATGTAAGACTCCCAAAATGCAGAAAAGTAAGTTTGGTTTTGAACATTTTAAAACTGTACAGTTTAGTACAGCAGCCATTAGCCACATGTGGCAGCTATGTTTGAGTTTAGATGTGCTATAAGTATAAAATGCACAGTGGTTGGTGAAGACGTTGAATGAAGAAAGACAATATAACTTAATGTTGCCCGATTGATTATAGTGTTAGTGATATATTTGGGATATATTAGGGTAAATATTACTGTAATGAATTTCATAATCATTAAAATGGAGTAATTGAGAAAAGCCAGTTCCTTACTAACTAAAAGATAAGATGGCCATTGTTAGGCATTTTAAAGCCCCATAAAGTCAGGAGTGATTGAAAAACTCCAGAGGAGACATGTAACTTTTTACCCACCTGAGCCTAGATGAGATTTGCAACTGTTGCTCTTTATTTCAGCTCTTATATTTTTGTTTGTAGGAGTTTTCAAATGTCACACTGTTACTTTTAATTAGTGTTTAAAAGACTTTGCTATATAGTCATTAGGCTGTTTTAATCAGGGTGGAATACCACCGAATCGTCAGGACCCTGTGATGGGCATGGAGAGACCAGAGGGGAGGATCAGAGCAGGTGCTAGGCACTTGTCACTCGATGTCTGGAAGCCATGAGGTGGCCCCTTCCATTTAGCACAAAACATTTCCTGTTCTTAACTTAAAGCTCAACTTAGTTGTTATATGTAACCTCTTAGAACCTTTGAGAAGTATAGTAGGTTTTATTTAGTTGCTTGTTTTACATTATACAAACTATGTCGTAATGCTAGACAGATCAGTCTCTTCGGCTAGATCCCTGGTGTGTGTCTAAAGAAAGTGCCTCCACCCAGACCATGGAGTTCCTGGCATGTGGTTAGTTATACTGACGGTTATCTCATTATAAAGTTTCCTTGAAATGTCACTCAGAACCAGAAAAACAACAGGATTTTGGCCAACCAGGGTGTTTTCTAGAAACTTTATTAGTGAAGTGTGATTTATGACAACACTGATTAGCAGGAATTTCATTGAATAATCATCTGCCTTTAAGTGACAGAACATTTCATGAGAGAAAGAATTGTTACTTGGTAGAAAAAGTCACAGGAATGCCTGAGTTCTTGGTACTTCTTGATGAAGCAAGTGAGGAGAGTCCCTTGTAGTTGCTCTCAGGGCTCTTACATACGGAATAAATGGTACCCAACCATTTGAGAGCAAGCCAGCGATTCTGGAGTGAGACAGGCTGTATACTGAGCACACTGAGGAGAGCAGCTTTGGTCACCAGAGCAGTGTTGAATTACATGGCTGGTGCAGAAACACCTGCCTGGGCTGATGGGGCAGATCTCTAGTACAGCGCAGGGGTGCTTGGGACCTGGTCGGGGGCAGATTTCTTTATTTGCTGTGTCCCTATATTTTCAAGATATGCAGAAAGGCTTCTCTTGCTCTACCTGTGGCTGAGGTGCATATGTAAAGCTCCCCTTTCAGAAGATAAGCCTGCTGCCTCCAGCTGCTCCTGTCCCTCATCACAAAGTGCACTGAGGAGTTTTGTTCACTGAGTAGCATGTTTGGGATGTAGCGGGTAGAGGGGGGTCTCCACTGTAAGAACCCTATTCCATGGTTGCTTTAGCTCCTGGCTGCCATCCCCATCTGTCTCTCTCTCCTTCCTTGTGGATGAGCCGGTGCAGGTCCACCCACAAAGAGAAGGAAGAAAGAAGGGAGAAGTTTACTGTTAACCATTCTTTCTGTGTATGTTGCTTCAGTGTCTGAGCTGTGTTCACAAACGGTCTGATCTGTTGGTCTGATTTTCTGAGTGTGGCACTGAGTGTGCCAGGGGTTTTGCACGTTGAGGGGTTGTGGGGCCAGTGTTCTGAACACTATCATGGTTTATGCACACCCTGCCTGCATTCCATGTGCCTGCGTCACGTGATGTGAAGATCCAGGTCTGCTCTTTGGAGAGGCAGTGCCCCATGTTGAGAATGTGAAAGGCTACCATCACGTGATGTGAAGACTCAGGTCTGCTCTTTGGAGAGGCAATGCCCCATGTTGAGAATGTGAAAGGCTACCATCACGTGATGTGAAGACCCAGGTCTGCTCTTTGGAGAGGCAATGCCTCATGTTGAGAATGTGAACCACCCCAGGCTACCGTCTGCCTTGCCACCCTCTGCAGGGCAGGTACAGGCTGTGCTCCTTGGCCTGGACAGTGAAGCTGACCATGGAGTCATTTATCTTGTGTGTAGCGAGCCTCAAGACCACGGGCGGATACTGGGCCACTGCAGTCAGCATGGAAAATGAGCCAAAGGGAAATCCAGTCCACAGAAGCACCTTATTTGTCTGCAGTTTTTGAGTATATTGCTCAAATAGCCATAAAAGTTTGAAAAATATATTTGGCAGCTAACTCTGGGAACAAAAGATGTTATCTAAGATCCCTTTTTAAATAACCACATTTCCTGCCTGCCTTAGCAGGTCTCTTAAGCTATAAGAACAGCTCCCCATGGTAGTGAGGTGAGGATCTGTGGACCTTGGCTGTCTGACCTCTTTTACCCCAGGTACTCTGTGACTCACCTTCAGGCAGCAGCATTTCTGCAGACTCCACTGAGTGCTTTCAGACTGGGGCTATGCCTCAGGATGGGCTCCCTCAGCATTGTTTTACTGGTGGCCACAAATCTGAAAGGCCCACGCTGTGCTCTGAATTTCATTGATATGCTGAGTGAGAACATTAGTTTTCTGGGAGAAGATGGTAGTAGTGTCCGTTCTTCTCTTCACTGCATGGGGGAAATAGTGTTGATTGAAAGGAAGAAGACTGCTGGATTGGATTGGAGCAAGAAAGTGTGGGTACCATGTGTCTCTGTCTTCCCAAGGGTGCCACTTCACTAGAGGTTTCCCTTTAGGGTCTGCCCCTCATGCCTGGCCCCACGTGCTCGTATGCACGTGAGTGGCTCTTTCTGACTGGCAGCAGCTGGCTGACAAAAGGCAGTTTCAAAAAAAATCTCATTTAGTAAGGTGTCTGCACAGAGTGGAGTAGCTAGAAAAAGACTGTTAACATTTAGAGGCCACCCTGAGCCAGCTGTAGTCTCCCACAGTACCAAAGAATGTAACCTTGGGAGGCTGCAGTCTTTCATGTGGTTGCAAACTGAAGTAGTAGGAGCAAGTTAATGTTGGGAAACAGATTGGTAAGTAAGGATGTACCTGTTTTAGCACTCACCAGCTGCATGAGTGCTAAAGAACACTCAGGGTTGATTGGGAATGGAAAAAACATCCAACGTCACAAGCCTCTCCTGCAGCATGGGTTGTAGCTGACAAGACCCCACAGACCCTGTCTAATGGCTCTGGGTCTCCTCTGCCTCTTGCGATGCATTGTACACAAGCCAGTGTTGGGGGGCGGGTCCACAGCTGGTATTTATTTTAATACACTGTTATTCATTGTTTGGGAAGAAAGCACCATAGCATTTGTTTACAGTCCAAAGGTAGAAGTTGTGACCCCAGCAACACAACTGGCTGACAGCTCTAATGCTCATTTCTGAATTTCATTTGGGCCAAAAGCATAGTTCTGTGACTCAAGCACTTAATGATTAATAGACCTCTAGAGGGGCTTATCAAAGGGGCAGAGAATGAAGGTTTAGCAGTTGTTACATCTCCAGATTCTAAAATTGATCCATGGATGTGGTTTCATTCATTCCTTTCAGTGCTAAAACTCTTTCCATTAGAGATGACTTTCGTCTTCTGCTTCGGAGGGTTTGGAGATGTGAAGTGTTCAGGAGGGTCTTTTCCCTGCTATTGGCACTTCTTTTGTCTTCCCTGGTTGCTTTTTCATAGTATTCTGGCTACAAAATAGAGACATTTCTGTTTTGTTTTCTTATAGAGTGGCTTAGAGGAAAGGTTAGATGTAATCTCTTTGGGCTCTGTTGCCGTTTCAGGATGCTCGGTGCTTTATATTTATTAATATGCAGTGTGCTGAACTTAGAAATCCTTCCTCTTGTCTGCCTTGATGCAGAATCTATGTGTAATAAAGGCAGAAGCTCTGGATGTGCCTGTGTCAGGTCCTGTCATCCTGGTGGTGTGTGAGGGCAGCACCCAGCTCTGCCTCTCCCACCACGGTGCTGGCACCAAGGCCTCTGCCCCATAGGACACCAAGGCCTATGAGTGGGAGCACTGCCAGTGTGCTGACTCCATCCCTTTTCCTCTCCCCGCTTCTCCTGCTGGCTGCCCTTGGTGCAGGCAAGTCCAGGGCCTCATTACTAAGCCAGCTGGCTCACCACGTCATCGTCCAGCATTGTCAGGAGGCACTATCGTGGAACAGAGTCCTACAAGGCAGGTTTCAGATTGAACATGAAAAAGAACACCATTGTTGGAGGGTCAGAGTAGTGTGTACAATTAGCGAAGTGGTTTTATAGG